CTTACCTAGAAGACAGATGAGTTTTGTTTCATATTCCTGTAACTAAGTGAAGAGAACGTTCAGTTTCGTTTCCTGTAACTGCGAGAACACAGAATTCAGTTTCGTTTCCTTCTCTTCTTGTGTACAGAAGGGCGACATTTGTTTCTTTTTTCCTATTTCGGGTGGAAAGCTCCAGCATGAGAAGCGGCATTGGCTGAGGGATCTCTTCTAGAAGCAGATCTTTTTATTTTCCTAATCCCCCCACTAACCTAGTCTCCAAAAAGAAAACACTTTAGGCGTACGTATTCCAACAACTCCATATAGTCATCTCATTTGTTGTTCACATAAACAAAATAACACCATAGGGGGTTATTCACTCAGCTGCCGAAGCATCTGACAGATTCCGGCAAAATAAAAACAATTGGGCGGAGATAGTGGTGACATCACCGCTAGCTCCGCCCAACTGTTTTCTATTGGCCGGCACCTGCCAGAGTCTTCTAGCAAGTCCCAGCCAATGAATAACAACAGGGCGGAGCCGACCGTGACGTCACGGCCGGCTCCGCCCAGTTGTTATTGTTTAATGACAGATCAGTGTCCCCAGGTCATTTGGGGATGCTGATCTGTCATTACAACTGGGCGGAGCGAGCCGTGAGATCATGGCTGGCTCCACCCAGCTGTCATTTGCATGGAGAAAGGTCAACCCTTCGGCTCAGTCGAGTTGAAGTGTATGCCTTCAGCTCGGCTGCCTTTGGCTGCTGTACGGACTATTGTGAATACCCCGTACAGCAGCCCTTCGGTTCGACTGAACCGAAAGGCTTAGGCAGCCGAAGGGAGCCAAAGGATCAGCCGAAGTCACAGCTAGATCCTTCGGCTCCATAGTGAATATGCCTCTATCTTTTTTTTTATTCCCTTCAGCACCTTCTAGTGGCATCTGGCGATGGAGCAACCAGTCGTCCGAACTTTGACCATGAGGCGGCAGGTGGAGCGTGCATAACCCTGAGAAAGGTTAGACTTTGTGAAAGTCAAAACACACACAGGAATTTTCAGGAGCAGATTGGGTCAGTATATAATCTTGTGTATCATGACAAACACATATACTAATACCGAAAGTCAATATTGCATTTACAGTTAATTAGGTGGAATGGTGCTCCTGGTACAGCCTTGAGGTCCAGGTTGCAGCAATCCACCACAGATAATAATATAAAACACGGCGCTTCCACCACCTGAAGTGTTAAACATATACTACTACATAATGGGTAAATTAATTTCAGTAATTAATATTTTTATTATACAGGATTTATATAGCGTCAACAGTTTGCACTCTTTACAATATCAGGAAGACATTACAGTTACAATACGTAGATGGTTAGGAGGGCCCTGCCCATGAGGGCTTACAATCTAAAGGGGAGGGGCAAGTGATACATGAGGAGGGAGCTGTGCGGGGATGATTGTTTGAGAAAGTGATAGTTCAGTGGTTAGGTTGAGGCAGAATAGGCTTCCGTGAAGAGATGAGTCTTTAGGGATCGCCTAAAGGCAGTCAGAGTGGGAGATAGACGGACCGATTGGGGTAAGGCGTTCCAAAGAAAGGGAGAGACTCTAGGGAAGTCCTGGAGGCCGGCATGGGAGGAGTCGATGAGGGAGCTAGAGAGCAGAAGGTCTTGGGAGGAGCAGAGGGGACGGTTTGGGTGATTCTTTGAGACAAGGTTGAGATATAGCCGTGGCAGAGTTGTGGATTGCTTTGTAAGTGGTTGTTAATATTTAGAATCTTATCCTTTGGGCGACTGGAAATCAGTGGAGGGATTGGCAGAGGGGGACAGGGGATGAGAGCCAGTAGAGGGATTGGCAGACAGGGACAGGGGATGAGAGCCAGTGGAGGGATTGGCAGATGGGGGGCAGGGGATGGTAGCCAGTGGAGGGATGGAGGATGGAAGCCAGTGAAGGGATTGGCAGAGGGGGGTGGGGGAATCGAAGCCAGTGGAGAGATTGGCAGAGGGGGGTGGAGGATGGAAGCCAGTGCAGGGATTGGCGGAAAGGGGTTGCAGACACTGAGCGGTTGGTGGATGAGTCTAGCAGCTGCATTCATGATAGACTGAAGGGGAGGAGCCTGTGTAGAGGTCAGCCAATGAGGAGGGAGTTGCAATAGTCGAGATGAGAAATAACAAGTGAGTGGATGAGTAGCTTTTGTGGTTTCATTGGTGAGGAAGGGGCTTATTTTGGAGATGTTATGAAGGTGAAGGCGTCAGAATTTGGATAGTGATTGGATGTGAGGCAGAAAGGTGAAGGTCAGAGTCACGGATCCCACCTAACACCTTGGCATGGGGGGAGTGAGGGGTAGTCTTGTTATCAATAGTTGTGATATCAGTAATATTACCTACCAGAAGTACATACAGTATAAGCCATAACCAAACACTTATATCTCCAACAGTATCTAGTGAACACATCAAAAACTACTTATACAATGTAAAAAGTGTCAATAGTCTTTCATATGGTGCTTAAACCCACAAAAAGTGTCCTTCATACAATGCTTATTTGCACTTTATGTATCCACCAAAGTGCTCCCCTCATCCTTCTTACACTCAAAAACTTTCTACGATGCTTAGTGGTGATAACTGGTTAGCTGATGCCTCCATGTTTTACGAGATCAGATTGTGGTCCAGTTTACATATAGAGAGAAGTACTCTGTGGATAGATTGTTCACTTCTCCAGTCTTCTCCAAACTCTTCATCCTTTAGTGACTAAACCCGCTAGGTTTTTTTTATTTTGGGTCTAACTCCATCTGCTGGACATTTCAAGGATTGTGGGTTTCATTTTAAAATGACTATAATAAATTGTATTTCTTTTACAAAATATATATATCCTATAGCCTATATATCCTTTACCCATATTGTTTGTTGTATATTTCTTTAGTCCTGATGAAGGGGCATTGTGTGGTCCCTGAGACGTGTTATACTCTTGATACTCTTTCCAGATCAAAAACATGTAGAGTGAGAAATCGGACCACATGTTGGCCTATGGTCATATCCTCCTGACGGAGTTGAAGGAGTGCGCCAGCAGCAAAGGAAGTTCTTCCGGGCTTAATGAAAGTGTTCCTGGAAGGCATCTAAGAAACTGGTGAGATTGTAGGTCATCAGGCCTTGATGTCACAGCAGCGTGAACTTAGCTGTGTGCTGACCTCAACCCCTAGGTTCTCCCTGCTCTAACATGTGGAGACTATCTGTCTACTGTCATTTTTAAGATGCGGGTGAAGTTCCTCTTTAATAACTGGGCATACAGACGGACAGTTTGTCTTGAACTACCGTTTTTCTACAATGGTTTTAATTGAACTGTATAATGGTTTTGTATGAATTAACTTTCCTTATTATAGTTTGGAGAAATATTTTTTTTTTAATGTATTTTTTGAGTCAGGGATATATAAAATATTGCATATCAGTATTCTGTATTCTTGTTTTTAAGCCCAACCCCCAATTGCCCCACTGTAGGTCAAAGCCAGCTAGTCATTTTATGTTTTTCTTATTTTTCTACATGCCTTCTCCTGATAGGTTACGTGACATTCTGGATCCCTTCCACTCCCGATGTTCTCCCTGAGGTGATCTTGTGTTCTTCAACACAGTGAAAAAAAATAATAATATAAAACATCAGTTTAAAAATAAAATTGACCAAAAGACATGATAATTTCCCCTTAAATGACGGATAGAGAAATAATGTATACTGTATAAATAATTAATATTCAGCTCACAGGTCTTCCCCCGGAGAGAAGCCAAAGCATCAGCATTTTGTCAATGTTTTAACAGAGCTCAGTCCATCTTCATCAAGACGGCTGACTGAGCTGGAGATAGACTGTTAAAACGTTGACAATATAAAACTCTGATGCTGATTATTGTATACCTATTCTTCTGAAGTGATGATGTATGTTTTTACTATTGTAAAAATTGCTGAGACTTTAATAAAACTTTTTGGGGAAAAAACTCTGATGCTTTGCCTTATCTCTGGTGGAAGACCCGTGAGTGCCTCTAAAACTGCTTTGGATTTGTATGAATATGCACCCTTGCCTTTA